GCCGGCTCATGTCCAGCCTTTCGTCTGTCAGTACCCCCAAGTCCCTCTCAGCAGAGCTGCTCTCGATCCTTTCATCCCCCAGCCTGTATCGATAGCGGGGATTACCCCGACCCAGGCGTAGGACCTTGCACTTGGCCGTGTTGAACCTCATGAGGTTCACACAGGCCCACCTCTCCAGCTTGTCCAGGTCCCTCTGGATGCCATCCCATCCTTCTGGTGTATCAACAGAATCACAGAATGTTCGGGGTTGGAAGGGACTTCTGGTTGTGTCGAACTGCAGGTAGCGTTTCAGCTACGTGTAACACACTTTCTGCTGGGATAGGACCACTGCTCTGTTCTCATGCCAGCCAAGTTCCTTCAGGATAGCATCTGGTTGTAAGCTTCAGTCAGTAAGAGATACTCATGGAAATGTAGAGAAAGAAGACAATGATCCTTTGTGGGATGTGCTACAAGCCAAAAGTAATCCACTGTTTTTAATGTAGAGTTTACTTCATTGTAGTAAATTAACGACACAGTGATTGGATCTGTACTTAGCATAAAGCCTTCATTCCAAATCAACCACAGCCCTCGCTCATCTGAGACCCAAGCAGTCCAGAAGTTGTGTGAACTAGTACTCTCCAGCCAAATTAGTACTTCACAGTATTTTTTTTTCCCCAAGTACAACACCACCTGGAGATGTTTAGTCAGCAGATAAGAATTTATAAGCTTTTCCATTCTTAATAGAATTGTTTATAGTTGGAAGACGACACAAAAATAAGTTGATCAGAGACTCGTGAACAGTGCATAACTAGAGGTACCTCATTTTTTTATCTGGTTACGGTACAGCATATCTCCAATTAGAATACACAACAGAGTTTTCGTATCCTCCACAAGACTCTCAAACCTAGTTTTCTCAAAAGACACGTATAGATTTGATAAAAGAGCCAGCAAGGATGATCTGCAGACGATAAATGTATGCCAGGCCTCCAGGCACAAGACTTTGATCAGAGTTAAAATTCCAAAGTCATTTCACCCACCGACTGTTTTGTCAGAGCAGCTGTAGATAACTCATCAGGGTAACTGCCAGGGGAGGAAAGGGTGCGTGAACTGAGGCCGTGCAACAGATCAGCGACATTCTCTGCAGCACCGCTGTAGCCTCTCGCTTCCATAACCTGGAAAAACCATGGAAGTCACGAGTCCATTAGTACTTTGAAAACTTTAAGAAACCCTCTGTCATGGTTTAACCCTGGTAGCCAGCTCAGCCCCACGCAGCCGCTCGCTTACTCCCCCACGGTGGGATGGGGGAGAGAATCAGAAGGGCAAAAGTGCAAAACCGTGGGTTGAGATACAGACAGTTTAGCGGGTAAAGCAAAAGCCACACACACAAGCAAAGCAGAGCAAGGAATTCATTCAGCATTTTTCACCTGCAGGCAGCCATCCCCAGGAAAGCAGGGCTCCGTCAGGTGTAACGGTGACTTGGGAAGATGAACGCCATCACTCCAAACCCTTCCGGCCTCTCCTTCCTTCTTCTTCCCCCAGCTTTTATTGCTGAGCACGACATCGTACGGTCTGGGGTATCCCTTTGATCCGATGTGGTCAGCTGTCCCGGCCGTGTCCGCTCCCAGCTCCTCGTGCACCCGCAGCCCACTCGCTGGTGGGGCGAGAAGCAGGAAAGGCCTTGACGCTGTGTAAGCACCGCTCAGCGCTAACTAAAACATCCCTGCGTTATCAACAGTACTGCGGTCACAAATCCAAAACATAGCCCCATAGCAGCTACTCTGATGACAACTATCCACCCCAGCCAAACCCAGCACGCCCTCCATTTCAGGGTTGTTCCAGTATTTCGCTGAATTCAGAGAAGGAAACACAGAAATTCACTCGCTCCAAATCAAAGCCTAGCGTTGGTTCCTTATCCTTACAGCTTATCTTCAGCAGGCTGCACCGACAGCTAAACTGGGGAGAATTTAGGTGGCATCCGAGTTGCACAGCAAAGGACAGCAATAGGAAGTCAGCTGAACTATGGATGCATTCCTTAGACCTGGATTAACGTGTCTACGCAGTGAATGGACGCTACTCGGTCCAACAACTCCAGCAACTCCATTTAACAGCTACGGAGGCAGAAAGTATTGGCAGATAGTATTTATGGGAAGTCTAGACTGGTCTTACCTCAAATATTTTCAAGTTGTGAAACTCACCTGTTAAATGCTGCACCCAGAAGCAGGGATCCAGGTCCTCAGTCTGGACACAGTGAGGTAGACTAAAACTGCGTCAGCTGGCAAATAATGCATTGAGATATTCTGAAGTGCTCTGAGAAGCTTTCAAAACAAGTATTTATCCAGAAACACAAAGGAGGGGCTGAGGTATCAATATCCTAGCGCTTATCATTTTGGGAAATCATACAAAGTCATATTTCCAGGTCTTTTGAAGATTTGAATTGCAATTTTCTACCAGAGCTTTTTGGCCAGCTATTGGTGTGGAAAGGAGGTGTTTTGCATTGTCTTTTGCAGTATTTTTTTTTTATAAAAAATGTAGCCTTAGCACTGAAGGTTCAGTACTACCCTTTTAAGTCACATCTAGCTCGAACACTTTTACGAGAGCACCCGTTCAGCTGTACTCCTGTTCCCTTTTGCAGCAGAGGTTAGCTAGAGCTGTGTTCACGGCTCCAGCCAGAAACACAGTGAAAGCCAGGAGTTCTAGCTAAGCAAGTACCACATGAGAACACTACAGGATGAAAACGATCGTACATATGGAAGAGAACTGTCCCAGTCCATATCTTTTTAACAACAAATATCAGGGTAAAACCACACTTTTGTTTTCAGCAGCTAGTACTGTAGAGAATCTCAGGCTGATAAAGCTTACAGAAGTATGAAGTCACTTAAAGCCATCCCCTATGTGATTTACGGTCAAGTTTACTATCAAGGAGTGGTGTAATGATTAGATTTCACATTTCATCACATCTTCACACGCCATGCTGTGACACTGTACTCCTTCAGTTAGGAATTAAAAATACATCATATGCAGATGGACAGCCAGTTCTGAAACTGAGATGCTTACCTCATAACTTAAAACACATGCAAGCTAGATATACATAAAGGCTTTGATAGATCTGCCAGTGAGAAGCAAGATTAGTCTCAGGCAAATGGTTCCACCAAGCAGTTGTCCAGACTTGACTGAACGGGAGCACAAGGAAACGATGCGTGCTTCGTGTATTCACAGCAGTCACGTCTCCAGTTGCCAAAGGCCAAGCTTATTGGCAATGCTCAGAAGTACTGGTAACTTGTTCTTAAGACCAAGAAATCCATCATAGAAGTAGATATAATAAAAGCAAGTAGGGTAAGCCACATGCTAAAGGAAGAAGCCTGCGCTAAGGCAGTGGCAAGTGCAAGGGGTACCCTGCTACACGCACAACAGGGCTCAGCTATTTGCTGGCTGCCATATAGACAGCCTGGGAGAAGGGTGACCAGGTCAGTGCTCCACATGTCAACAACAACAAAATCATCTAGAGTTGCAGGCCTGTTAGAAGAGCTGTGAAGTCTGTTTGTCCACAGCTGCAAAGCTGCTGTAAGCTGACAACTACCCTAGCACTTGGGCCTACCCTATACTCCCCTGTTAACATCCAAGGAGAGTTAACAGTCTAAGAAAAAAGTTCTAGTTAAACTCCTACTTGTCCTCTATGGAGAGCATTATAGAAATCAGCTTCTTCACTGACTAAAGTCAGAATTAGCATACTTAAAAATACAAAATACAGGCTTAGTATCCAATGACATTTTCATCTGTAGTAGTAAAAACTAGGTTCCCTAAAGCTTTTTCCTACCTAAACTTACCTCAGAATTTGCCAAAGGAATTAAACCAAGACTTGAAGTATGATAACCCCCTAAAAATCTGTATGAAAAAGAGTAAGCTCAGAATAAAACCACAAGCTTTATGCCAGGAACTTTATGAAGTCATGCCAGACAACTTGTTTCGGCATCTGCGTGGTAGCAGGGAAGAACCATTTAAAGTTGGAAGCTGTGAAACCAGTTGCCAGGAAACAGCAGCTTTATATCAGATCTGAAGCTTATTCCATTTAGGTTTTTACTTTTATTTAAATAAGCAGATGGCTTAACTGCTTTTACTTGGCATACTTCTAGTTCATCCCAAGCTGTACCCACCAGGCTTTGCACTAGCTACCTCAATACACTCCAATAAAGTACTTCCTACTGCTAAAACAAACTACTGAAACTTTTGAAAGTGGGAAGAGCCAGTGACTTACAGTCTTATTAGTTCATACTTCCTTTTTAAACATTGAAACACTTCATGGTATTTGACACGCTGCAGCTTAGACAAGGACACGCACCGTGGCTTCTCAGTTCTCAGACCACAAGAGGTGGTCCACAAGACTGGTCACACAGCCCATTAGCTGCAAGAAATTAATTTCTGAAATGCTTCCTAGCATTTGTATTCAGGTTTGATTTAGAATGCAAGCAGCAGGCTTCAACTACAAATACCAAGTTCCTCAGCAGTCCCCTGAAAGGAAGGGATAACTGGCATTACAACCCAGTTCAGGTCTCAGGGGCAGGGAAGCCATGCATGTTTCTGCTTCACAAGGGTCAGTTTAGCTTTAAAACACATTGCAGCTGAGGACACGTGAGCCAGCCCCGCAGTGACTGTTCTGAGGTTTAACAATTTCAACTCCATCACTACCGAAGGACAGATGTGACACTAGATTTGACAGGATACACCTTTAAAATAAGTGGCCCTAAGGAAGTACGTAGCATTTCACTTCTAATTTCTTGACCTTGCAGTTAAAAAGAAAGCAGGTATGTAACTAAATCTTGACTTCATTTTGGTCAAGGGAACGCTTTTGAGAATGGCATCAAGCAAGAACTACACAAACAAGTAACCCCCTTTAAACTATGCAGTTTGCCCTAAATCATTGAAACTCAAGGACCAACTCTGTAACAATATGCATGTACACCCCACACCAGAAATAAGCTCAGCTTGCTATGTTTTAAAAATAAAGACCACTGGCAAGATTAATACTAAAATGCATATTAACTTGTTTTATTGAGGCACAACAAGGCATTGTGAATAGCCCATACTTGAGGCAATCAATAGTGTAGTAAGCTGGACATTAATACAGTTTAGGGTAAGTGCAAACAATATACATTCACAGCTTTACTAGCAAGGCTACATCACAACTGATAAAGTGCCAAATTAGTGCTGATTCAGTACCCCAACTCCATGATTTCACCTTGCACAACAGGACCATCACTTCCCCCAGTAATGGAACCACATATCTTCCACAAAGTCAGTAGTAGGTGCAAAGCTAGTCCCACCCCCCTCCACCAAGGTGTCTGGAGCAGCTCTTTTGTAAACATCGCACTGGATTTTAGTCCTGATAAAGGAGGTATCCCGAAAAGGTGGAGTATTTCCAGCTACTTCCATAGATGGCTCCCCGATGCAGACGCAACCAGATCTGATCTCCCTGGAACAGCTGCAGGACTGCGTGATTACTAGCTGTTTCATGATCAGGAGCCCCATCGTTTGCGTATGCTGACACTAGGACCTCTTCATTCTTCATGAGATTCACATACAGGGGAACATTTACAGCCAGTTTCAGCATGTGGAAGATGAAGACATAGGTACCATTCACCGGACAGTTGAACCTACCCAGCTGGATATCAAAAGTTTCTCCAAGGTTGTTCAGCAACAGATCAAACACAATTGGCTGGTCTAGAGTTCCAGGGGCCAAGTTAGATGTTCTAGCAGCAGAGAAGGCCACTCTCATCTGCTGCGGCAGGGGGTAGACGTGCACTGGTAGTATGGTGGCAGCTTGGCTCGTCACTGGCATATCAACAGGGGTGATGCTGCGGGAGTCTCCCTGTCCAGAGTCCCCACTGTTAAAGGTTTCATTGTCTCGTTCTGGACTGCTCACCTGAGAGGAATCACTCCACCCTGCTGTTAAAGATCATTAGCGATGATAAATAAGTATTAGAAGGGGGATACCCTTAAACCTGTGGGCATAACACTAAGCAGAAAGCATAGGGGCATTGCAACAGATCTGTCTTTCAGCAAGTTATCAAAGCACCCCGGTGAGAATAGAACTGCGAAGCTGGTTTACATTCATCACACTCGCGTTCTGCAAGATGGGCCATGATTTTACTATGAACAATTACTTTTCACACTTCTAAGCAGGGGAGGGTACTACTTGTAACAGTTTTAGCTTTAATATTTGCCACAGATATATCACAGCATAAAGAAGCATATGCTAACTCAGTGGAGATAAAATGTAATTTCTGAAAAAAATGGCAGGATTACCAAGAAGCAAGTCACCTTCAAGATCTGAATTTGCACTTCAAGTTACACCAATACTGTTCTCATGGGGTTGCATCCTTAGTTTGTCATATCAACTTATGATGCTTAAGATATGTTAAGTCTGAAGAACTAGAATTTCTTTTAAGCTTTCTGCACCCCACTCCCCAAAATGAAGCTGTTTCTCTTTTCAAATATCCAAAGTTAAAAGGGTCTAGAATGAAAACATTAATAGATCACAGAAATTTAGAGCAGTCACGCTGAGGCTGCAAACCACTGTTATTTCCACTGGAAAGTAACACCTTAAGACAGCCAATAAAACAAAGCCAAGTCGTCACGGTATCTTAATGCTAATGAGAACTTCTGCCAACCGTTAACTTAACCTCATTTTTTTTGAATTCTCTTCTGAAGTATATTCTGAGTCCTCCCTCAGATTGAGGGAGGATCTGCTTTATCCTAAAACAGTTTCCATGAGTTGCCATAATTTCCCTTTATTCTTCAAAGTGGCAATTTACAGTTACTATTCATCCCACTTTTCACCTACAGCACTGCAAGTCCAGCGTTTTCCAGAACATACAGTAGGATTAAATAATCTTATTTAAAACTTTCTAGAATATATGCTAGTCATGCTCGGATTCAAACAGCTAGTCTTAACATATTTCTTTAGGCTTTGTACTCCAGCATGGAAATACAGAGTAAACCTGTATTCCCAAACAAACTATTTTTCATAGAAAAAGTTATCTTACAAAGCTGGAGATCTGATAGCTTACCCAGAATCAAGGGGAGACCAATCAGGGGAAGAAGCCAAATGCAACACTGGAAGCACCCTGTGTGTGTTTTCCTAGTCAGTTTTTGTGAAGATAGTGCAGTAAGGTACCATTGTGTCAGAACTTTGACATGTGAAGACACCAAATCGGGAATACCAAAAATAAATCCGCTGCTCTGCAATGCTGTTTAAGAACAGTACTTAAGCTTCCATCTAGCTTTGCTAATTTATACCAAGCTTAATCTGCTTCATCAGTGATGGCACACAGTTTTTCTCACTATTGACAATAACACTCCATCTTCTATACCCAAGCACATATCTGTACCCCTGGGAACCTGATGTTCGCCTTACCTCTTGAGTTTGCTCGAGGACCACTAGTTATCCCACCTCGTTTATAGCACTGCTGGTAATTAACATCCTAAAAGAGAACAGAAGTATTAGGAAGATGTCTATTATATAAACAATAATACAATACATAATGTATAACAAATAGTATTATTCCATTTGTGCAATTAATTCAATCCCTAGACAAGGATGGAGTTCAGAGTTAAGATGTAGATAAATAGCCTTGTTGATAGAAAATTTACTTTTATAATCATTGTATGAAATTAAAGAGCTATTTTGATGCCAGTTCTAGCAAGTTAGCTTCTGAACTATACACTCAATTCAGTCCATTGAGCAATACCTTCAATCTCAGGTCTGTTAGAAGTCCATGAGTCTGTACAGAAGAATATATTTCATTTCAAAGCTGAAGACCCTCCTCCCACCAGGAACTTTTGCTTTCTCACACATTGTTTTTTTGATTTTTTTTTTTTGCCTAACCACGTTCTTAGTCAGTCCATTTAGGTGTTCATTTTGTACTACAGAGGCATTGAGTACCAGCTTTAAAATCCATAGTAAAATAGACTCATTATACCACATCTTATTTGCCATCAGTTTGCACTTCAGAGATTCCCTCCAGAGTAAAAATCAACCTGCCATACAGAGATGTTATCTGTCTGAACTGACTTCCTATTTCAACTGCTGTCTACTGTTCCAAAAAACCCTAACTTTTTGCTCATAAGAGAACAGAAACCTACAGTATTACAAGGCTTAGCTCCTGTACAATGCTTGAAAGGCTATGGGAAACAAAGGCAATACTTACCCTCTGAGAATATGGCATTCCAGCATAATCTCTACCAGGGAACTGCAGCTGGCCATAGCTGCCATTAGTCATTGAAGAGGAGCCTCTGTAAGCATCAAAACCTGTCCAAATAAAGTTGATTATTCAATATCATCCATTGTTTGGTTTACAGTACAGGTTCCAGAAGACAACTAGCACTCCCTTTTGGCAATTATCGTGTGTATTAATTATGCAATTACACATCTATTCCTTAATTCAGAATTTGCAGCCAGGTCTCACTACCCCTATAAAGAATGCCTTTCATTAGCTACTCAGAACTACCCACTGTGGATGTGTCAAAATTACATGCTTAAGATTCTTAACATCAGACCTTCACTGCCCATTTGATACTAATGGGACGTCACAGAGCAGCTGAAACACTCACTAGATCCAGAGACAGGATTTCACATAGAATTAAGAATTGCTTTATTTTGTTATTACAGATGTTTAGCTATTATTGTTATACACTTAGGTGCTACTATGATATTTAGCCTCTTCAGCAATTATTAGACTAATTACCAAAGAGGAGCCACAAGCAATTTAGTACCAGACACTATGAAAACCTTAACTGCTTTTAAGTTAGAACTGTACAGCTCATTGTCTGGTATGGGTTCCTACAAGGTATTGAGCAGTCTCAGCCCAATAACTGAAACAATTATCACAGACCAAGTGCCCTTCCACTTCCAGGTGGAACAGGCCACAGCTACCAACCCCCTTAAGTGAGCATCTGCTTTAAGTCAGCTGAAACTTGCCGTAGTACTTCAGCTAGCAGGAGAATAGCAGTTCATTTGCAGAGACCAACTAACCATCCTCTTAAAACTCTTCAGTTTGTTATTAATCCAGAAGGGCTCTCCACTGCTGGGAACCTCTCCCCCATCCCAGTTTCTCCTGGTAATATTAAAGCCAGCAGTGCTAAGCAAAGACTATCTTGTTTTGGACAAACACTGCAAGTGACATCTGAAGAGAAAATACCTGCCCAGAATGATAGGAAGACAGACACCAAGAGAAAGAGTAAAGGAGGTAAAAAGTTCAGAATAGCAAATGAAATAGCAAGCAGAAAAGTGTATACAATTAAATAGTTTAACAACTTCTTAGTGAAAATTTCTATTTTCATAATTCAAAAGGCTATGAAAGTGCACTGCCAGGTCACCTGACACCCAAAGCACAGGGACTACAAATAAGTCAGAATAAGCTTGCTTAGATTCTACAACAGAAGACACATTGCTCTTAAAGTCCTGTTTGAAGAAGTTTTCCATAGAACCTAAATTTAATACAATGTTGTGTTAAATCATGTCCTAGTGTTACTACAGTAGATTCTTTTTAAGGTGGTAGTAAAACCAGACATACCTTTGTACCCACCAGGGGAACGATACGAATTAGCCAGTGACCTTCCTCCTCTAGCAGATCCTCTGACAGACCCACGACTGTTAAGGTAAGGCTGAGGGGGTCTGGGAATAACATTAGTCTGTGCTGGATAAAAGGCAAGGCTACCATTGCTAACAGGAACAGCTCCATCTGGTTGATAATTCACTGCTTAAAACAGAAGGCACAGATTAATTCAAAGCTTTTATAACAGCAGTAAGTTACCACACCTAGAAGCAAGGGCAGCATTAGGAAGTTCAGGGACTGATTAGGTCGCTCTGAATATCCTGTTCTTCTACCCCTTCTTTAGAGGTCTTAGTCTTCACGTCTCACTGACTTCACACAGTATCATTCTATTTCTACTATAATTCCTAAGAAGAGTCCTGTCAGAAAAACAGTAATTTTAAGTGACCTTGAGTCACTTCATTAGATAGCCTTGTAAATCCAGATTCCTAGCTGTGAGCTTCCTTTTATCCTGGAACATGTTTCAGGCAAATTTAAGAATGTGAAATGAGACTAGCCTCTAGTGTCAGCTATATAAATTCACCTCGTACAGTATCTGAATGTCAAGCAGGTCAGTTCTGTGTTGAATAAGGCAGCTCAAGACCCCACTTATCAGCAGTTTAGTATTCTTCAGGGCAGACACTCAGACCCAACCAGCTAATAAAGTCAGCCTTGGTAAGAAGTCAGAGCTATATAAACAGAAGTAAAGGGAGGATTATCTTTTGCTGCAGAGTACACTGTCATCAGCTTTCACTTGCTTCAGGTTAAAAGCAGATGCACGAACAGCTCCTGCAGCTCAGCTGATTCTCAGTACCTCACTGAACTACGGAAACTTGTGACTGAGGCTTCCCAGTTCAGAAACTAGCCTTCCTAGGTAACAAAACAGGTAACATAAATTTAGGGCCTAATTGGGAACAACATGATCTCCACTACAGAAAGCTAGAACTTCACAAGATATAGCTGGAGCAGTAAGCAGGAGTGGCAGACATGACCTGTCAGTGACATGTAGAATGCTTATCTCTAATGTAGTAAGGTGGAATATCCATATGAAGATTTTGGCAAGTGCTAGTACGGTCAAGACGAGCCATGTGTTTTACAGTGATTATATTGTGAGCTGCAAGTTCAAACAGAAAGATACCAGCCCATTCTTAAAGCAAGAAAATTCTAAATCCTAAACAGCTCTCAGATGACACATGTTAGTCTTGTATTACTAGTGCAAAATACTTACCACTTTGGGTAATTCACCTCAGCACTGAAAGCTTATCCCAACTTTCTTTTCTAAGATTCTGCAGCTCCCCACACTACAGACAACACTAGTGTCTACTACCAGAGACCAGTCTAATAGCTCCAAATGAAGTATTTCACCACTGCTTCATTTCTAAGCAAACACTTGTTTGACTGACAGTATCACTGCATGCTTGAGCTTCCCAGTAGGTGGGAAGTTAAGAGGCCTGTAGGTGACACCATCCTTACAACTAGTATAGAAACCAGTTTGAAGCAGCCTTTCATCCTGCTTGGAGTTTTGAAATGAAGTTTACATACCATCAACTGGATTACAGCTGATGTAACCCTAATGTTAACACATGCTACACAGCAGTGGTTCAGAAATTCTCTGAGTTAGAAGAACCTGAATATATGCACAGCACGTGTTAATGAATTCAAATACTACAATAACCTGAGGAACTTTAAAGACTACTTGAAATAGAGAGACAAGTACAGTTCTCACCTGAAGATAGAGATTCTTGTGAAAGAGAGGTTTGTTCTGCAACATGAGAAGATTGCAACTGGCATTGAGGAGGAGTCTGTGTACTTGCTGTAGAGAAACTCTGGTTATATCCTGCCGAATATGAAGAATCCTCTTTAATTTCCTGGTCTTTACGCGGAGGCAGTGGTGCATTCACTTTAAATACCTACAACATATTTCAAGGCAAGCACTTAGCACTAGCAGCTAAAGTCTCTGCCTAATGCCACCACCCTGCTCTGCTATGGTTTAAACCCATATGCCTAGAACACCAACTGTTTTGCAGAAAAAATTAAGAAAACTGTATTTCAACCCATCCTCTCCCTTCTCAGTAAGCTGCCAGAACTTATTCATATTTATGTAGCCACTACCAAAGAAATGTAGCTTGAATGATCATAGCTACCATGTTTGATCAAGAGAACAGCTACCATACAGTAAACCATATTGCCTCTATGGGAAGTCTGCTGTTGGACTGACTTGTTGACTACCTGCCCTACAGCTTTTGACCTGAAGCTGGGACAGCCTACGCTGAGATGAGATGTCATGTTTGGGAAGAATTTGGGTCTTTCTACCCATCTTGTAATCTGGTGCAACTCTACTATTCATGCAGAATAATAACATATTAGACAGCCTTCACCCCTTTGATAAATTGAGCCTCAGCTTTTGTTTTCTTGTTTTCAGTTCCCTCAGAGTAAACATGTAACCTAAGTAACAGTCTTGTAATTCAAATTTTCATGTTACAGCCTGGGCAGTAGGGTGGTACACAGATATCACTGTTAGTTAAATCTAATCAACCAGAGTTCAGTCACTCCAGTGACTGTATTGTTTTACAGCCAATAAAACCCACAATTACCAGAACTGATGCTGTGAAGTAAAAACTAGTATCAAGATCAAACAGCAAAGAAGTCTGTTTTGAGTAAAAGGACCTAAATTTCACATGAAGACCTGTCAACAGTATTGAGTCTAAAGGTGTATCTAACCATTTTCCAAGACTACAAACTGTCTCAAGACAGACTAGGGCAAGACCAACTACAGCTAGATGCAAGGAACAGCTTCCCAGCTTGATGGTTCTTGTCATTTGCAGAAGCTTTTAATTACAGTGGGAATAGAACACTTTTTCTAGGGTCAAGGTGGCAAGTATTTCTTCTAACAGGGAGCTAGCACAGAAGCCCCTCATGATTCTGAACTATTGAGTATAAAGCTTGAACCATTATAAAATAGCACAAATCCTGGTTCTGATTTGCCAGATGAAGTGATCAAAGTGATCCTAAGCAATCCCCTTTCTCAAAGAGGTTTGAAGATGCTGTGCCATCAGGCTGTCAACACCCACATCCTGGACTATTTGTAACTAGTGGCCTACTTTCTCCTACCACTGAGGGTTACAGGTGGAATACTAATAAAAGCACTTGGGCTACAGGTACAATCCACCTTTAAGCTTCCATAAGCACAATGGCAGCAATAGGGTGTTCAGACATCTCTGAGGACATGCCATGAGAGGCTTCCGTTACTGTCCCTGCATTACCACTATTTGGCAAGGACTCCTCTGATGCCTGGCTATCTACTGAAACCCAGTGGCTGTGCTTTCCTGGCAGCAACGATAATCTAAACAACATAGGGAAGGAAGCCCTGCACCGTGAAAACTGCCACCACTACAGAAGGAATTAACATCCTAGCAATTTAGTGACAGACGTTTGCCAGTTTGATCCAAAAATCCCAAGAGAGATCTTGAACATTTAACATCTCTGAAAACACCACAGCATTAATTCAAGTGAACTTTCAGCGATGCCATTTTGTTCAAAAGCACTCAAGACAGATACTAGGTTCAGATATGACCAGGATGACTGAGACCAAGACTCTATATCATGACAGATGCTTATCTTTTAGAGTGGGTGCCCAGAAAGACTCTAGATTCCTTGATCACAGCATACTGCTATTTCTCCACTTTCATGACAAATCACCATCTAGCCACTTAGCATAATTTAAATAAGATCTGGCTTCAGAAGCACTCTCTCACTACCACCACTTGCCTAATGAGGTGTATCCAAATTTTATAGCTCTGACAACGGTTCTAGTTGAACCTCTTCAACAAATACAGAAAACCAAGGAGAGTCATGGTAGTGATTTACTACAGACCACACAAGGATGTCAGATGTTTTAGTGATTAATTCCTGTGCTTTGAAAGGCTATTAGCTACCTTCTTCCACCAAATCCTACTACATGTGTCAGTACTGCAAGACGTAGATAGTCCAGCAAGTTGCAGAATTGCACTGCTGCATTTGTTAAAATGGAGAATCTCAATGACTTCTTTCCAAGCTTGCTTTTGAGCAAGAACATTAAATGAAGGTTTCCAGCATCTTCTGAAGAAGGTATCAGAGAAGTAAGCCCAAGTACAGGGAAAGGAACATGAACAACTAAATGTAGACCCTTCCTTTGAGTCTCTCTAAGCTTCACTGCAGACAGTAGCAATGTCAGTAATGTTAGAGAACATCAGTAATAACACATGGCCTGTAAAAAAGTATCTACTTGCAAGAAACACTGCTCATAGTCTACATGGACTATTCCCTAGATATCTATATTGACTGCTTATTAACAAGATAGGATAACAAACTACAACAGTCTTTACCAAGGACATATTTCGCACGATTCAAGTGGACCGAGTTTCACCCTACTAAAGCCAGCAGTTTAAAAAGCAGCAAGACAGGCTCAGGCTTCAGAAAGCTTTAAGTCCCAACAGCTATATACTTCAGGGTTCCCTCTCTCCTCTGCAGTCTTTATTATTTGAAATCTATGCATAAGAACAGTTTAAGTGGAGTCAACTTTACCTCGGGACACAGCTATAAATCTGTTGATTTCAGGTCTGACTTTTCCCTCTTTGTTCCTTTAGGCTGCTAAGATATCCTAGTATTAGATTTTGGGACAATATAGAGCAAAACTAGGATGTCTGTTCTTAGATGATCTGTTTTAAGTTCTGAAGGCAGTGGAGAAGCAGATTTCTAATCAAGGTTTGTAACATTAAAACGTGAAAGTGACCTATCGAGTTCTGTACTGTATCAAGGGGAGCCAGTTCCCCAGTAATAGAATGAAGTTGTTAGTATTACTGTCAATTATTCTTGTGGCCTTAAGTTGCATACTTACAGTCTGCATAGCCTGAAAGGGAGCTGCTGTTATTGTGACAGAACTGCTGCTTGCTGGAGGAGACTGAAAGCTTTGCGCTGGTGGTACGGGTGACATCGAGGTGCTTGAAGTAGGCAATGGTGACTGTGGCTCACTTGGGAGGGGAATAGTTGCCTGAGGGAAGAACAGATGTCATGAAAGGTCACTTGATAGTTATCAGTAACAGAAGCCGTTCATTTGTTCTAAGCCTAGACTGACAGAAGTCAGCAGTTTCTACAGGATGACATTTGGACGTAGCAGAGCTACAAAATAGCTTTTGCTTACAATTTCAAATCTTGCTGTGCATTCTCAGCAAACAGTACTTCTATTGCAGTCTCTGCTGATTCAGTCAAATGTGCCTATGAGCTACTATACATACCACTTATTGTAATAATTTCACAATAAAGAGACATTAGGTATTTTTTCCACCACTAAGGAAACACAGAATGCCTTCTCTTCCATTTATTGGAAGACTGTTCTCTGGCTGACTTTAGAAGTGACTACTCTTTTCCAAAAGAGCTCAGGAAGTTTAGGGGGTTGATTTTTTCCCTCCCAACTTAATCAGTTATGTTTCAGATTAGAAACAATGCCGAGCTGTCCAGACAAAGTATTAGCCAGGATTAAGTTTCATCTGTGCAGATGGCAAAATGAAGTGCTGATTTAGAATACCAATAAGAATCAGAAATCAAGAGGAACGTAAGGCTCTAGACACATTTCAGCAACCAATATATTGACCTTACCTGTATTTGCAATAGCTCACCTGGGCAATTTCAATCTTTTTCGGAATCAAGGGCTCAGAAATATGTGAACTTGTCTGATACAGTGCCTGGGAAGTATATTTCTCAGTCTCTTGAGCAAGTGATGCTGATGCCTAGAAGAAGTCATACATGCACCTGCTATTACAAGAAGTATTGCAGAAAGCACAAAGATCTGGTAGAGCTATGAAATACCAGTGCACAAACTGAAACAACTGGATTTTGAAAGACCATGACAAAAATTAAGTCCAAAGTAAATGTACTAAGTAGTCATGTTAAGCAAAAGCTTCAAGTAAGTAGCTTTAGAAATTCAGACTTGGATTACCCTTCCTACAAAAGAGGTTGTACAGCTAGCCCTGCAAAGTCTGATAATTTTCAGAACTGTGGATTGCTTCAAGCAGTTATGCGCAGTGAGGTCTGTGACACACACCTGCCCCATGGAATTAAATGGGAAGACACATCTGATATTAAACTCCTAGTAAGCTCTGTTGAACAAGCCTTCAGAGCCAAACTTTAGTTTGCCTTTGCAAAACCTGCATGTTCTGTAGTTAGCTCACACAAGTAACACTAAGTTTAAGATTTGCTCATACTTAGATACACAGCCTAGGGCTTGGGACTGCCAGCCCCATTCTCACCAGGTACACCATCACAGGTGCATCAGACAGAACTGCACCTGCATACCAGGAGAGTGCACTGTCACCATGGAGTGTATTCCCTGGTTGTGCTGGGACCAAACAAAGCTTGTCTACTGCTTTCCATGAGGAGCAGGACTAGAAAAGGACACCACACTTAAAGTCTAAGGGACTAGAGATATGCTGGGAACAAGCAACCCTAATTCCAAACTAAGTTTGAAAAAAACATCAGAACATTCTACTAAATCAGATGTTCAACATTATAGCACAGCACAAGTCTTCTGGATGCGTATTAAACAGAAAAGCTATTTAATCCTTACCAGCACAAAAAGTCTTATGACACAGTAGAAGTGCAAGAAGGTGTCAAAAACCAGGCCAAAACTACTGAGTCAAGAGGCAGCAAGACTAATATCCCTGTCAAGGCTGTTCTATCCAACCATACACTATATTAAGGAATAGACTAAGTACTACATGCCTGCACAGTGTACTGATACCATGTACACCAGCAAAGAAAACATTTTAAAAGCATGAACATTTCCCCATTATAATCTACATACACTGTATTAGGAAGACCAACAGGTAGGCCCAGCTGTGTTTCTGAACACAGCAACACCTTGCAAGATATCTTTAAGAATGATCTGCATAAATTGAAACACTATTTTCAGCTCTTTAATATTTGAAAGCTAGCTGAAGATTCAACTGCACATAAATACAGTTAAGAAAACAGCTTGAGGTCCTGGCTGAACATCAGGAAGTCAGATTCCCAGTATTTCTTCAGTCAGTGCTGGAGAGAACAGCCTTCAGCTTACACAGAAGTAACAATATATGCCAATACCCATCCCGATTTATCCATCCTCTACATCGTCATTAGAGGGAGTATTTACACCGCTCATATGTTCCCACAAGAATACGCATCACACTTTCCAGCCTGCATTCTTCATCCCACACCTTTCCCACTTCAAGGGGCAGACTGTTCACTTTGCACTCATGAAGACTTTTCCAACCATCTTTAACTACTCCAGAACACAGGCTATACTATTGTTGTTACTTGCATTCTTGTCACTGTACAGTGTTCAGGAGAGGCCCCACCACAGCTTTCTGTTAGGGGTCTGATCAGCAGATGCTAGGGAAGTATTTGAACCATGCAGTGTCACGGATGAAGCAGCAGCCTTGCAAGAAGAGATAAAGTTTTGAAATATTATCCTAAATGTTTGGTTTCACTGAAACTTACACTCCGGGCATCTCCAAATAAACCTCAGAATGAGGCAGGAACTGAAGTGCTTTGACCAGTTAGTTTAAGTTTCTTAGGAATTCTTGTTAGTGTCAAGGAAACCTATTAAAAAGCCAAAGTAGCAAGACATGCAAGCACAGTGAGTGAATTTAAGGTTCACTCAGCCATGGCTGCCAAAGCTTGAGACACAGTATCTTTGGCATAGGTGATGATCTCAAAGATGAAGACATGCGCTATCTACAAAAAGTGGCATGCTGCACACAACTGTTAGCTATGACTTGAATTTGTGGGTTAAATATTCAAACTATTTCAGCATGTCTTCAACATACTGTTTTACTCCAAGACATTTCAAACATTTGTTGCCACTTTTCATTCGGAAGAGCAGCCAATTTTGTCAGCATTTGAGTGATCTTGGTCTTGTAAGCTACAAAGTTATATGAAATTTGTTACAAAACCACTAACAACCAGAAAAATTTTTGAAGTACTAAATCTATTCTAGTGAATAACCTCTGTATCATTCCTTGGCTACAGCTCTGCCTCTTCAGGGCAGTCCTGACTTCAACTTACTTGAAGGGGCTGTTGAAGAAAATCACTCTGACTTGGCAGTTTCTGTTCTTTTGAAGCTGCAAAAAAAGAACGAATCAAGCAACATTTACTTATAAATTCCAACACTACATATAATTTCAGTGTGCAGTTCTACTTTTTGAAAAGATCTGGTTTATGAAGATGCATGCTATTTTTTAGTGTATGCACTGCAAATATTTAGACTTTGAATCAGTGAACTGCACCCCATTGAAAACTTCAGTTTCTTTTTTATAAAAGAGGACAAGTATTCAATGATAAAACATATTTCTACCACAGAGATACCCACTTTATTAAATAATTGCTTTTTTAAATCTAGAAACTGACTAATTGTGGTTTACAGCTCAAGAGCCACACACAGTTTCTTAACATGGCCTACTGTAGAAAGCTCCAGTTTTCTAAGTGTAGCTAGATAATCACTCTATCCTGAGCTCATTCACAGCTTGTGTCTATATACAGCACGTCTAGAGAAGTTCGTAACAGATACAGCATGTCAATTCTGCAGCTGGGTTCAGATACACATGCTAGTCAGTGATTATACAGGCATTCCACTTCCAGGCAGATGCACCAACTTAAGCCACCTCCAGCAACAAATAAGCAGGTCAGTGGCTCAAGCTGCCTTTTTTAATCAAACATTAGTATTCTCTAATTAGACAAGCTGTCTTCACCACATCTACTGATCGACAGCCCAAGCAAACCCTGTTAGTGTTTGCAAAAGCTTGCATATGGTTTACATGTACAGTAGTACCTACCTACAGGACCACTTGCTGGAGGAACTGAAGGTGGCTGGGATGAACCAATGGCACTTGGTGAAGCTTTATCAAAATCTAGAATGGACTCCTTTTGAAAAAAAAGATCATAAGTTTGGAGAAAAAATTAAACTAGATACAAATGAAATATTCTCATTTGACAAGCTGCTGTTAGCTAATTAGAGCTAGATTCATTCATTCAGTGCAAACACATTGTCAGCACTGTTTTCCCTAACTCAGTAGGAACTGGAGCTTTGTGCCACAACAGCAGAGAAAAACATACTTGCATGAAGTTGTAAGTCCCTTGTATCTGAGTCATCAGATCCTGAAGTTTTTCCCTTCTCAATACTGGATCTTTTGGAAGAGTTGAAGTAGAGCAAAATTCTGCAGCTGGCTGATGTGCAGGTTTAGGCACCTAATAAGGAGAAAAGATATCAAATCTAATACTGGAAGCAAGACAAGCTGCCTTATCCAATATACTCCCAGAGCAACCTACAGGTGGTCAGACACCATGGGCCAAGGAATTCTGTACTGTGATTGGTACTTCCTGAATCAAGCTTTCACTTTGTTAAAAGAATCAGTTTACTGTTGCCACAGCTAGTTAAGCCACAGAATTAATTCGCTTACTGTCTTCTGTGTATTTGACTAAGAAACTGAATGAAGTTGCCTGCATTTAGTGCAAAATTGGGCACCCCATCTAAGGAAACCCACATATTTAAGTTGAAGGCCAGAACTTAAAGCTGCATCACTCAAAGTTTAACACATGCTTCCTCCTAGTAAAGCCCATGTCAGTAAGTACAGACCTTCTATTAGGATTGCATTTCCAGACATCCTGAAGAAACTGCACCTAAGATACATTGTAAGCGGCTTACCCAGGATCAGACCAAAGTGCTTCCACTAACAAGCCAGATACTCTCCATGCTCGTGCAGAAAGTATTACATTAAACTTTCCAGAGTTTGGCATGAAAAATACACCTGTGCTCCCACACAAGAGCCTAACTTTGTAGCTAACAGGGAATTCTGCAGGGCCTTATTACTCCTTGATTGTTTCAGATAGTCCCTTAACAGTTCGTTGCAACTGGTTCTCACTTCACTTGAAAAGAGAGAAATGTTTTATCAGAGAATAGGCAAGTCTAAGGTAGCAGAAAAATCATGATAGTAAACTCCTGAAATAACAGAAGCCCTGTTATTTACAGAGTGACAATAATACTAGACTGTCTAGATAGTCAAACGTGTCTTTTGAAAGCAGCCTAGGGAAGAGAGGCTTGTTCTAAGTATTTTATAACCATCATTTTTAGTGATTCTCTAAAGCTTTGCTGTTCCCATGTTTATGCAGCTAGAGGGAAGCAAATCTGAAGACATTAAGTAGTTGCATTATTTCAACTGGCCCAAATGTTGAGACACACAGGAACACGTGAAAGCCTTGAATAGGAGGTTACTACTTCAATACACTGTATAGCAGGATAGTTGAGTATTTGTATGAAGTCATTAGAAGACTATGTGGCAGAAGTGTGTATCTATCATAACATTTAATTGTCACACTAAATTCAAAACAATTGAATTTGCTCTTTGCCCAGTTTCAAGACAACAAGCCCAAATACACTCTTGCATTTCTTCAGTTATCTGAAACTAATCACTGGCATTTGCAGAAGTGCCAACGGCATGCACAGGAAGAAGCCTGCAGGGTTTAGTGAGCTTCAGAGCATAATCCATGTACATGCAGCCCATCATTAACTCCAGAGGACACAAGTTTTTAACATCACACAACTCACACACCTACTTCTTAAGCTGTGAGAACTTTTACTTTATTCTAGAGCTAGAAGAATGCACCTTTGTACCACTGTATCTTAATTAGAATTTCTGATGCACAAGCACTACCTTTAACCACTGACTATGCAAGTTTATTGCTGTATAGTTTCCAATAACCAACAGGAACTAAAACTATTAAGGATCTAGGTGCAGGACAAGAGATACAGCTGAATAAAGTTAAATCTCAGCAAGTTATAGATTAAATTACTAAGAATCTGAATCTTCCTGTCCATCACTTTTAGCCCTCAAACAGACTTAAAACACTTGCTGTCAGGGTAAATACATTATGGGTCAAACTGATTAACGCTTCTATTACCCCCTTCCTCCTCCTCACCACAGTTTAGACACAAGTACACTACCAAACTAGTTTTGTGTATTTGCAAACAGATAACAGAAGCTTTTCACCTCTAAGTCACATAACCAAGTCAAGTCTGGCAGTGTCTGAAGCTATTTAGATTGTCCAGTGGCTACATAGGTTAGACTTGTACATTAAACACAAACAAGTAAAAACAGCCTCAAGAGCATGGAAGCAGAAGAGACCGCAGTGCTTCACTTGTGGTTGCAAAAATGATACTATTTTCTGTATGCTTTTACAGTTTGTTAGAGAACTTATCTCCTTCCCCAGCTCACACTGTGCATTATGCTGGTAGCATTCTCTACTTTAGCTAGGAGAGCAAGCATAGAGGGTTATATTTATGATATCAGGGCTTCAAGCCAGGACTGAAACATTGAGACTCTCCATTCTGTGGAAGCTATTTTCTAGTTCCTGCATGTATTAAAATACACCAGCCTGAAGTAGCTACAGTGGCATTACTCATGACTCATACCGATTTGCTGTTCTGCTGGTACTTAGGTGTTCAAAACCAGAATATTGAAGTGTAATACACAGCATACATGAAAAAGCATCATAAAGTTCACAAATTTCAGGTTTTATGCCTTTATAAAAAAGGCTTTGAGAAAGAGCAGGTACTTGACATCCTTAAGATGGTTCTAAACCAAGTTGACTGTCTAGCCTACAGTTAGATGCTGTTTCTGGAAGTCATTACAACTGGTAGCAGATGCTGAGCTTAGTAACCTGTTAGGCCAGCTCACATCAAACTTACACATGCTGACATCATGCAGCACTAGTGGTTCAACCAACATGCAGGTTAGTAGTTTTTTGGTTTTGGTTTTTGGGGGGGGGGTTTTGTGGGGTTTTTTGTTGGTTTTTTTACACAGCATTGGTAAGTTAGGGTCAACTTTGTCATAACAATGTTTCTGAAACTTCAACACTACTTACACATTGAGCAAAAGGTGTTTTGCCATTATATAGAGAGAGCTGACTAAAAATGGAGTTGAAAAACCTAGCATTTGTTTTAGGTCCTGTTAAATCATTGCAAATAAACCAATGCAAAGGCAGAACGACCACTTTGGAATTTAGCTAGTCAAAGTGCCAGTACACTAGGTACTCCTGTTAAAGCTCAATCATTTTCTTTAGAGAATGAAGGTCTGCTTATACGTAACAATACCCTAACATACATTTCAATGACCTTATATACTAGTAAAACTGTCCTGTGACAGAGGACCTCAACTCCTCTTTTGGTTTGTTAGCTGTGGAGTACTAAGTGAGCTGGAATGGTGATACCAAAGCTGTAATCACAACAGTGATTGCCAGCCATGCCGTGTAGATACACAATTAACATCTGCTTTCTACGCAGAGCAGCATTCACAGCAGGTATGAATTAAATGGCACTGGATGACAGCAAAAGCCAAACTGTTTTGTTCTCACACAGCAGGCCACAAATTCAGCTCTAACCAGGTTTGCTGGTCAACAGGCTGCACATAGAGATAACAGTTTAACAGGCTTGCACATCAGCTCACTCTGCTGCCTTAGGCCAAACTTCTTAGGTACTCCACCTAAAAGTACATTAAACAAGCATATTTTTGGATCTCAAAACCAAGCAGTTTATTAAAAGATGTCTCGGAGCTCTAACACTTATTACATGGAGTAAAAGAAAGGTTAATTTCAGCTCCAGAAAGCAGCAGCAACATCGGCCTTCTACCTACCATGCCTAGATCCCTGCACAGGGTCATTTTAGGCTCTCCCTAGGAGTGAAATGCATCCAGCTATAGCACTGCATTGCCTCTTCTTTCTTCACGTAAAGGCAAGGCAAGTTTCATTACCCAAAAAGTTAAAAATATGATTTAAATTGTTCTTTATGTGCACCTCAGATTAAGACATTCATTTTTAAAGTGTGGTTATGGAAACTAGCTGGGTTGAGAGTACACTTTTTTTACTCATTCAATATGCTTTTGATATTAGGAATTGTCAATAGCTACTGAGCAAAAATACAGCCAGCTGATGTTTCACTACAGTCTACTATCCAAATCAAAGTCTGAATACTTTAAAAATATGCTTTGTTCACTTAATTTCATAACCCAGTTTAAGCAACCTTACATTCCAACATTCAATTTCATTTAATTTGGCCCACTTGCACACCTGCACATTACTGTGCAGGCTCCTAGGCAGCTTGCAAGTTCCTCCAGCTGACTGGAGACCCTACTTTGTCCTTACTGCATCAAAGTTACGTCTACCTCTTAAGCCCTCCATCTTTCCATCCTATACAAATAAGAGCTCCATCTCATTAGGAAGCATCTTGCAATGAAGCTTTAAGTTAATCTGACACCAGAAATTCCAAGGCATCTTAAAGTGCTTGAGACTATTCCAATTATTACATAATAGTTTCAGTTACAGTAATACTACACATAGTTGGGTGCACAACACCTACTTGTGCTCGGAGCTACCTAGTGTGAGCAACCATGTTTTTTTGTACCTGTACCACCACCACCAGTGGACACAAGACTCTACTCAGCTTGCGTGTAAAGACATATCAAGTTGAAACACCGTAATCCCATTCTGTTACCCAGTGCTGCATGTTACCTACTCTTTTAATTTCCTGTTCAACCTTCTGTTTGCGCTCCCGCCTCTAGGCACAAAAATTTAGTTATGCCAAGTTTACTGACAGGATTTAAGCTTAATCATTTGCTATGAGTAATACAGAATTAATTGATTTCTGCTTTCTTGCAGAAACAAGGTATAGTGCTAACAGCATTGCGTACAAAATAATTGCTCGATTCCCCATATTTTCTTCCTGAAGTCTAACTCTAAACACTCCTCTTAATGACATAACTGAACTCTGCTTTGCCTGTCAACTTACCTATTTTCACAGTATCAGAATTGTTACTAGCCAAGCACGTGTGAGAAAGGCGGCAATGTAACCAGAGGCTAGCAGCCCACTCAGCTGTAAGCCCTGCAGGAACTTTTATTTTACATTTCTAAAACAAACTATGTCATTGTCAGACTCTCCAGGACAGCAGTATGGCTTATGCATTCATCTGGAAATACACATAAGCCCCTGTACTGTTGGTATTGCTTGACCTAGATGTTAGATCTCTCTTGAATCAGCAGCTATTTTAATCAAAAGTCTAAAAAATTACTGAAGTGCCATTTGCATGCAGCCACAGACAAAGTGTTTGATCCCTGGATGAGTCATACCTGCTTTGTACTGATAACAGTGGACAGAGCCCATAGCTGGGGATGAACCAAGTTAATTCTTCTGTCTTATGCATAAACCAGTTATTCAAGGCTCAAACACAGCAATACTGTGTTGATGTAAAAAGCAAAGCAGACCATCTTGCTACGCTATATAGAAAATATCGGCAGAATTGTTTCCCCCGAGAAAGAACGAAATAGGAGTCTAAATACAGGCCTACAAAATGCACCTTATAAAGCCTCTGCTAACAGGTAGGCAGCTTTACTCCAACACACTAGTGAAAAGCTTATGACAGGTAATACTACATATGCCAACTCACTTCTTTGGGTTCCATATCAAACTTCTTTGGCCCCATCTGCTCCTTTGGCCCAACACTTGCAGCTCCCCAGGACTTCGGAGGGTTCTGTAGCTGCTGTGATGGCACTTGCTGCTGCCTGTCAGCTTTCTCCCAAGCCTCTCGGGTCTCCTGCTTCTTTTGTTCTGGCTCCTCCCTAACATGTGCAGCCCAAGCCTTCACAGGCTCCTGCTTCTTTTGCTCTCGCTCTTCCCTAACAGGCATTTCCCATGATTTCACAGGCTCTGGCTTCTTTTGTTCTGGTTGCTCCCTAGTTTGGGTTACCCACGGTTTTGGAGATTCCTGCTTTTGCTCTGGTTCTTCCTTAATTTTGGTTACCCAAGATTTTGGGGACTCCTGCTTCTTCTGTTCCTGCTCTTCCCTAACTTTTGCTACCCATGGCTTCGGCAATTCCTGTTTCTTCTGGTCCTGTTCTTCCCTAACCTTTGCTACCCAAGGTTTGGCGGACTCCTGCTCCTCTCGGACACGTGCTACCCAGGCCTTTGGGGCTTCTTGCTTCTTCTGTTCTTCCTCCTCAACACGGGTCTCCCAGGGCTTTGTAGACTCACGCTTCTGTTCCTCCTCTTTAACACGAGCTTCCCATGGCTTTGGAGAATCTGGTCTTTTTGGTTCTTGCTGCCTAACACGAGCTTCCCAAGGCTTTACGGTCTCTTGCTTCTGCTTCTGTTCCTGCTCTTCAACATCAACGAGCATTTCCCAGGACTTTGGAGGTTCTTGCTTTCTAGCACACTCAGCTTCCCAAGATTTGGGCTCTTCTGGCTTCTTCTTGACAGAGTATTCTGCTTCAGGCAAATAACGCCTGTTGAGAAACTATATAGACCAAACAAACTTAATGGCTCCCAAGAAAACAGTTTGCTACTACAGTTCAGGTCAGTTAAGTTAGGTCACCCAAGCTACTGAAAATTTCTGACTAAAAGCAGAGCCTAGACATTTTAAGCACCAGCCACAGAAACTCTGTGGCCAGTCATGGCTTTGTCCTACAACACTGCAGACTAGCTTTGCCTGGCACACCAGAGAAGCACGAAACAGTTCTGAACAGCACAAGTGAAACACATTTGAGCCGACTGAATCCATTACCCTTATCCCCAGTGCTAACTGATGCTCCTAGGCAGTGACAATATCAGGTTCAGTTGTGATTTTTGTAAAGGTGGCTCTCCTCCTAAGCATCTAAAATGATGTGGTACTATATTAGCAGACACTGTGCTAAGTGTAGCAGCACCATCTCCCCCAAAATCTTTGACCCTTTGGAACTTCACTCACCAAGTATAACCATCATTCTTACTGGAGTTTAAATACTAAAAATCACCAGATTCTCAGATTTAGTACCACTGGACTTCAACTCCAGGCTATGTTTACTATCAATAAGACTGAGAGTTCAGTGAAGATGTCCTGAAGTTCTCCTGAGTTACTGCTTTATCATAAAGAGGAAGCAAATGTATGAAGCAAAGAATATTACAAGGCTCACCGGCTGAGAGTTTTTTCTGACAAGTCACCAGAAAAGCTTTAGTCTCAGGTAACAGTATTACCAGCCGGTTACAAAAACTTGTTCTATCCCACATGCTCTAGTGGGATACCTGGGAAACAGGGATTCTGCATTTTAAGAACCAGTATTTCCACTTACAAAAGGACACCCCTCCCCAACTTTTGAACCAAGTCTAATGGTTTTTATGCTATTGCCAGTTGAAGCTTGAGTACTTAACTCAGGAGTCTGAAGCACTGCTGAAATAGGTCTATGCACCCCTGTGCACACAAGATGGCCTTGGGGTCCCTACTTTGACAAATCAGAGCAAGATCTACATCATTCTCAATCCCATCAATATCCAGTCTACTGCAGTAGGCTTAGCTTTCAGAGAGCTTTAGTAGATGTGTATTCTCTCTGTCCCATAGTACACAAAAGATCAGTGTGTTACCACTCAAGGCTGATGTCAGGAAAGTGCCAGAGCATTAAAATACTATACTGCTTCCTGTAATCCTGCCCCATTTATCCCAATATACACCAGAGAAGCCATGAATTTGGGGTTAGAAACAGAAACGCAATCAAGTCTTTAATGATTCTTACATAAAGCAACACCTAAGTTGCTGTTCAGACTACCTTTAAGTTTAAAAAAGGGCTGCAGAAGTGCAGTTATGTTTCCAACAAATCACAATGCTAAAAGGAAAGCAATTAGCAGTGGAGTATCTTACCTCCTGTGGCTGTATTTCAGACTTCATAAGCTCCATGATGGATTCTAGAGAAAGGATGTTAATTTGTTTCAACTGATCAAATGCAAAAAGGCAGACAAAACAGTGGCAAGTCTTTAATTCTATTTAAATAGTAGTGTCAATTGCTGAACTAGATATTCTGAAAGCTCACCTTGTCATTCAACATGGTATTTTTAGACAAGCTTTTAGTTTCCACCTTGGTTTCACATTTGCAGAAGTTTAGACTGAAACAATCTGTAGT